TCATGATTATGTTGAATACCGAGTTAAAATAAGATGTAAATTCCAAAAGTTGCGGATTATCCTTCCCTTCAGAAGCAAATGTCTAACTTACTGTATAATGCTTCTTAATCACTGCTTTCGCACGCTGAGTTATCTAGCAGAATCTACGTCATACAAGTAGATAAGATAATCCGGCGTTTGAATTCCTTTCATGAGGAAGATTTTTGTTTCATTGGAACGAAAACGCTTATTGAGTTTCTGTCACAATTACGATTTACTTTGTGCGGAAAGTACTAATATTTCTCAAGCAAACCGGCCAACCTATTGATAAACCAGGCCACGAGAAGCTCTTTACTAGAAGAAAATGTTTAGGGACAAATAATTTCCTCATTGACAACGCATTCATAGACGAAACAATATAATTCACGCCAGTTTTAGTACGAAAAGTTGAATGGCGTTGGAAACACAAGGCTTTCGAAAACAAACTCAGTACTTTGGGCTTTTTCCTCGTTTGATGTCGACGGAGTTTCGACCCCTCGTTTAGCGCACACTCTCCATTCCCACTATTGAAAAGGAATTTGGGGCTATTTCGTCCAAATATTATGTAGGAATTCTTAACAAAGTACTTGAAATAAAGCTGCATACGTTAACAGGCAATTCTTAAGTTCTTAAGAAAAGAAATCACTAATCGTTTAACAATAAAAATATGACGGCTTACCCCTCGCAATAATTGCCTTTCTCTTAACGAGTTGGATTTTTTTAAAAGTTAACCCTTAGTGAACTTAAATTTTTTTAAACTGCAACCCAAAGGTAGCCGTTACTAGTCAAATGAAATTCGAAGTGATACTGTTGATATTTCAATTTTCATGTTAGGGTATATCTAATCAACGGCATGGATTTAGAATCACGGAAACATTCGTGTGATTTTGTCGAAGTGTGAAAGATCCGCGAGAGCATTAAGGCTTACCCCTTTCAATTCGAGTAAACATGTTTCTCAAGAATTAATTTTTGGGGAACTTAAATCGAAACACCCTCGTTGAGAATAAATTACAAGGTAAAGGAGGAAAATATCAACTGACACTCTCTACCATTACTTTGTCGTTATCAATCGATCTCCGGAAATGAACTAATTTCATGTCGTTTAACGTCCGAAATAACGTCGATTTGGTGATCATTACCTTTAATGTCTTGTATACAATATTAATATATTTAATTCTGAAGTTTAGGCATTGGCAAACAGTATTTTCAAGACTAGAACGTAAACAAGTGATGGATGATGCGTGGATAGGGAAAACGGTGTCCAACCAGTCAGTTTTCAGCGAAGAGCCCAACGACAGATCAAATGAATTGAAATCGTTAATAATAATGTGAAAGCCAATATTTTCATGCGCACTAGTTCGCGGCCACTTTAGCTCTTGTGAAATCATCGACTATCTAAAAATAGAAGCAGAACATCTTCAAAAATTTAGAGTGGCCTAAATGTTATTTATAGTTGCGACCGTAAAGACATGCAAGGCATTGCCAAACGTCACCGAGTTAGGTCGCAGCGATTATCTGCTTGTTGTGATAGGGAGAATTTTGATGAGGATTTTGGTCCCTGCGACTGAATTTGTATCCGCAGCACATAGCTATTATTCAAACTGGTATGAATTTTCAGTAGATGATTTAACTTCCAGATCACGTGGTGTGATCATCGGTGTGAGGCTCACGTCACAGAAAACTATTCTGTTCAGTGCTTCCCTCATCTGGACGATCAGACCAAACGATCAATTGGTTAAATTGGTGCGATGATCGCAGCGAAAAAGTCGCATTTTCGCTAGTAGTATTCACAAAGGAGTTTATCGCCGGAACCTGTTCCACCCACGTGCCGCCTAATGTGTCCGACTATAGAAATGTCACCACTTTTGGGCGATATGGCGCCAGGGCAGAAGTATGTGCCGCCATAACTGACCTGCGGCATCAGTCAAGTCACCGGCTCATGAGGCGGAAAATTGACTTTGACACAAATGACCGCGTGCATGTCAGGCAATAAAAAATATTCCATAGAAGAATACTTTCGACCGCACCTAGATTTTTGCCCGCACGTTACTCGTAAATTTTTTGCTTGCTTTTAAAAATCGAGGAGGAAAATATAGACACAAGTGCCTTTGTCATTTTGTTAAGTGCATTAGATTGAGAAAAAGAATAGTCAAGTTATATGATGTCCGTGTCACCGAGGCATCTGTCGGTTTAAGGAACTTATGTCACAATATTTTGAGATCACCAATCTCGTGAACATTATATTAGTTTGATTAGAAGGAAAAACAACAAAGTGGATTGAATAACTGGCGAAAGATTGATTGTGGATTGCTAAAGATGAACTTGGAAAATTTAGGATACATTCACCAGTGTGACCTGGTTCTTAGAAACAATTTATGACGAACGGAAGCCTGGGTAACACAGATAAATTGAAAAACGTGAAATTCCCTTGAATTCTCAAATTTCGGAGTAATGCATCTCAAAATTGTGCGTTTCCATTCCATTACCAAGGCAATATTCATATTTTGAAAACCTTTTCCTCTTGAGTTATCTTTTATGACAGGTAGTTTATCTACCGAGACCGCTGACCAGAACTTCCATTCTATCGGGATTAAAATGGCAGTTTGATAAATGTAACGTCGTAGGGATGGGTTGATTGAGTGGGTCCAGGAAAAGAGACACCAGTGTGTCACTGACTGTCTGATGGAAACATGAACGGACAGATATACTGACTTATTAACTGTTGCTCAGATCGACCGAAAACTGGACGAAAGAGATACCGGTTTTCATTGTAAAAATGGCGAGGCAAGCATCAGAGTCATACTGTTGTGTGCCACCCTCTTTAAATAAAGTTGTTACTTACTTACTTATATCAGAAACGATGGATTTCCTCATTGATTGACTGACTGATTGACTTAGTATTTGAATTAACTATTGATGATTCAGCGTTTATTGTTTGATTGATCGAGTAAGTGGGCGAGTTGATTGAGTGGATCATTGATTGACTGACTGACTAACTCATTTATCGAGTAATTAATTGATTAAGTGATTTTTTGAGTGTCTTAGCGATAGATCTAACACCATTGCCATTACAAGTGAATCAAAACACCATCAAAAGCTTAAAACTAATGCGAAACATGCAACAAACCAACAAAAGAGGTGTGCATATTCAAAACTTGAAAGTAAGCTTTCACATTAACCCGATTGCTTTTCAGTGCAATCTTGTTAGTTGCACCAGTCCTACCTCTGTCAATGAAATAGTACTGCAAACTACTACTTGAACATCACCAATGACAAACCCGACAGGTGATTGTCCAGTGTTAGGTGTCCTTTCAACTTACTTTCCATCTTCTAAAATCGATCACTTCATTCCAAGTAGTAAGCGGATTATTGATCAACGAAACGAGCTGATGTCTTTTAAACAAGGCGTAATATGAGGCTTTTAACCTAACCAAACTGTAATAAAAACCTCTTGTGTTGTGCCATAGCAGAGTTACAAGTTATATAGCGATACAAGTTAGATCAGAGACGGTTCAGGTACCAGAAACATACTCAACAAGAATAGCATTACTCATCTATCCAATTAGATGGCAGTATTTGATTAACTGGTTTTAGCACGTTGTAGATAAAACCTCTGTCACCATTTCTTCTGGTTAATCACTGCTTAAGAGTCTTACAAAAACATGATACGAATACTTCTTCGTCGCTCAAGCGAAGGAAACCTTGCCTAGGAATGTGGGGGCAATGAAAATAATATGAATGCTGTATTGTTTTGGTCAACGCGCTTATAGAATACCATTTGTTTTCTATTCAAGTACATGGTATTCAGTGGTTAATTAGTTTATGATAATATGACTTTGTTCTCAGCACATTACGGCTACTTGTACATGTTTATAAACAACGCTGTTTCTGATCATGAAAACAAAAGTTTCCAAGTTCACATGCATATTTCTGCTACAACTTGGAGTAACTCCCTAAAATGATAGCTCTTAGGAACAAACACATGAGGTTAGTTTCGATTTGATCTATTTGTCTTAATCGGTTGCTAAACCGATGTAAGGACTATGTGATATAGAAAGGTTTAAAAAGTATATTTCTCTGCAACCTAGCAAGTTGAATTTCTTTGAGATATCTTGCGTACCTAGAAGTTTGGTTTTATTGGGAGAGAATGCCAAAACATTCAGCGTTATTGTCAGATTATGCGAACATATCAGATACGAAGTTGCATAGTTTTCGAACATATTACACAGTATTGCTCGGCAGAATATTATGCCTGTTGCAATTGCATAGCAGAACATTGCAGAAATCGTCCAAACTTACTCTCAGCAACATCATATAACAACTTTGTTTGGCACACGAGGCCAAAAAGTTGCTATTTACAATTTTTCTCGAGGCGCTTTGAAGGCTTATATTCTCAGGATTAGAATAATTGGAATGTCACCGACATTGTCGTAGTCATAATACCTCAAAGCTATCGTTCTCAAAAACGTTTGAGATGCGAATTCATTAATCGTGGCTGTTGTAAGCAATAAGAGGTTTTTGAAAGAAACTTCTCGTGGAAAAATGTGATAAATCCTAAACTGTGAAAGACAAAATTTTTTAAGTGAGACTGATTCTATTTTGTGACTTCTTTTGTTAAGTCTGTAAATATCAAGCTGTACTCACTGAAATGAAAATCGATGATTTGTCGCGAAGCATTCCTGTTTATTTCACACCTTATTTCTTAGACCTCTATTCAATCGTCTATTCTCCCTCACGCCATTCCTTCCTCTAAATAATAATAATTCTTTATCCTTTTCTTCTAATCGCAGAAATTAAAAATTGGTTTTCACTGAACCTTGACTAGCAAAAAAAAAAAAATACAAGCCTAAAGATTTTTTATCTGTCGATCGAGAGAACAGTGCGAATGTGCCAATGTTATGATGCAGAAGGCACTTTATGAAAATAGTATTGCTTAGACTCTCATCATGAAATAATCCTCCTCTCTGTAAACTCACTTGCAGCAATCGTGAAAAAGCTGAACAAAGTCAGAACCCTAATGGCACTCCTGGACATGCCGATAATGAACGAGATCTACTCGAAGCAAGCCAAGCAACTGCAACTTCATCCGAAAATAGTTCGTCCCTCAAATGCGCCTTGAGACTTAAAGAACTAACGACTCAAATGAACAGCGTAGGTAATCGACTCCAGGCGCAGCTTGTTTCTCTGCATGAAACAGTTTGTAAAGGAACGGAGACTTCCCAAGGAGTTAATACAGACTTCAATTTGTTTTCCCCTGAGCTAGTTGATAAGTTACAAGGCAGTACCTCTGACCTCAGCGCTAAAGTGAAGGTTTTGGAGAGTTATTTGGGAGAAGCGCAACAACTGTTGACTCTTCAAGAGAAGCTAAACAATGGAGTCAATGGCTTGAATGGGGTCTCGTCTTGTCGAGAGAAAAATCAAACAGAGAAACAACTCGAATCAAAACTCGCCGAAATAAGTGGGAAACAAGAAGCGATTGATGAGGAGAGATCGAGACAAGACATGGATTTCTTGAACACTAACGGAAACATAGACGACCACGAGAAATTTGATGGAAAAGAAAGTGATGGTATTACCAGACTGGATAAATTGGAATTAGACAATCAAAACTTTAAGAAGCAATTGAAAATAATTAAAAATAAATTAGACGAACGAGGACTTTTAGATGATGAGCTCACAGCACTTACAAATGTCCAATCGATACTTGGCGTCAAATATGAGGATTTTTCTGCCTCAGATGAACTTGTCATCTTACAGAAAGAGAGAAAGGTTCTTCTTACGACTATTAGTAAACTGCAAAGTCGAGAAAGCAGCGACAGCAAGGAACAAATTGATATTAACACCAGTGATAAAGCGGTCCAATGTAAAATCAACATTTTGGGTCAATTAAGTAACCAAGGCGCGTCGCTATCCAGTGAATTTGAAGAGCTGAAGAAGCTTTCAGGCGAGCTGCAGGCGGAAGTGGACGAACTAGACGAAGAAAACAAAACTATGGAGGAAGAAACTTTTAAATTGAAGGAGGAAAAAAGAGTGCTCGAAGACAGCGTGAACAAGTTGAGAGCTCAAATAACTGATGCGTTGGATTCGAGTTTTGAGGAAATGGAGCATGTACATCACGAGAAGGAAGAGCTTCAGGTCCGGTTGCAATTTATGGAGGCTGACAACAAAAAACTACGTGACACCTTTGCTGAGCTGTCGAAGAAGAATGCGGATTATTTGGAAGTCGTGCTGGACGAAATTGAAAGAAAGGATTCCCTTGAGGATGCTGTGGACTATTTGAGTACCGAGGTCGAGAAGCTTAATGAAATCAATATCCAAGCGGTGTACAGTACCAATGAAGCATGTCCCCCCAGGGACACAACGCTAAAATTTCATAACTCCAGCCTTTTGAGTGAAATGAAAACATGTAAAGAGTTAATAGATTCACAAAGAGAACAGATACGGCAACTTCAAGTGGACAAAAGAGATATCGAAGACAGTTATATCAATCTTAAGAGAGAGGCGCTTATTTTGCGGACGAAGCAAGGCGAAAGGACTTCTCTGAGGTTGAAAAGCATCGAAAACCTCGCTGCTAGTATGCAACCCACTCGGAAAACTTCAGTCGAACGATGTGAATATCTTAAACAAGAAATCCTTCGCCTGACCAAGCGCGGAACTGAATTGGAAAATTCAATAAGAACGTTGAAATCCGACAACTCCAACCTTGAGGAGGAAAAGGTTTGTCTGCTAGACTCTTTGTTACATCAACTTGAAAAGAACGAATCCCTTCAGGTGCAAAACGATGAACTCAAGAGTACAATTAAACAAAACAATGGCGATAAAGAGCTCGGAAAACCGTCAACTAAACTCCTACTGGATAACGAACTAAGTACAACAACCCACGATCGTGATACGGATGTGAATGGAAATGTGTCCGAATGCGAAAATCACACTCGACTGCTAACGAGCGAAGACACAGCACACGAAAATGGCTCTGACACGAAGTACGCAATCGACGAGTCACGGGAGAGGTCATATCAACTTGGTGAACAGCTGCAAAGTTTACAAGAGCGTGTGCTTGAAGTTGAAAAGGAAAAAGAGAGGATTCAGATAGATTTAAAAGACACCTACAAAAATGAGAAAGAGCTTCGAGAGAAGGTCGCACATTTGAAAAACGAATGCACAGTTTTAAAGAATCAGTTGAAAAAGAACAAAGAAGTTTCAGACACGCTTCAAGGATGTCTTCAAGAAGCACACGAAGAGAAAGAAGAGCTTGTCGAGTCTTTGGACGAGGTCAGCGAAGAGAAGACCACTTTGGAGAAGAAGATTGAGATAACGGAGAAGGAACTCAACGAGTTGAAGGAGAAATACCAGCGTTTGCAGAATGAGTTTGACTCTGTTTCAGTTGGGGCACAAAATGTTGACAAATCCAAAGAGCAGATGAAATCTATTCGCGCTAAACTATTCGAGCTCTACGAATCCCTGACAGATAAAGAAAAGGATAGTGCATCCGAAGAACTCAGTACGGGAGCTCCAGAATCGACATCGTTAGACGAACAAGGCAACAGCATACTTTCATTGGCCGAGAAAGTTCGCAGAGAAGTCAACCTCCTCAAGAAAGAACTCAGAAGAGTGAAAATTGAACAGGAGCACTTAAAGACGAAATTCGACACGTCTCAAACGGAGAAATTATCACTGCAGAAGTATGTTCGAGAGCTTGACGAGAAGAGGAGGCAAGTGAAGAGTTTTATCACAAAACTCACTGAAGAAAAAGAAGTAATTTCGGAGCAAATGGAGGAAATAAAACAACAGAAGAACAATTTAGCTGACGCTCTGGAAAATGTCTATCAAAGCAAAGAGAGTCTGCAATGCCAGCTAGAAGATGCGTTGTGTAAGCAGCATGAAAACAGCAAGTCGGTAACTGAGGCATCTGCAGAGGTCCAAAGCTTGAAGAAGTCGCTTTACAAAATGGCTGGAGAGCGAGATACTTTGAAAGATGCACTACTTGAAACCACAAAAGAGCTGCAAATGGTGAGGACCTCTGAGGCAAAATGGAAAGAAAAAGCTACGGGCTCTCAAGTAGAGGCTGACCAAAGCGTACAAGAAACAAACGACGCAGGCAACAAAGTTGACGAAAGCGAAGTCATTAATCGCCTGCATCTAGAAAACGACGGGCTGAAAAAGCAGTTAGAAATGTTGAAAACGACTCAACTTTCTCCGCAGGAAGAAGCCTCTGGAAGAAGCTCGGTCGTCACGGGTGATATTCCGGAGAAGTTGGCGGAACCTGAAGATCAATTGCAATCAACAATGGCTTCAGAGTATGGAAACAGCTCGGATGTTTTTGAAATGGTTACTTCTTTCGGGATGAGATCTTTCGAAGAATCGTCCAATGCTGGTACGGAGTTGCCGGTTTCAAGCGAAGCGAACTCCTGGCTTGAAAGTGGACCACTTGATGAGGAAGAAGCATTTGAAGTTCGTTTCAGTAAAGTGTGCGCAGAAAATAAAACATTAGAAGCGCAACTTCGACGAAGCACCGAAGAGAACGAACAACTAAAGATTTGGTTTGAATCAGTCTCAGCTGAGAAGGAAGTCATGGAAAAAGAACAAGAATCGATGAGCAAGGAGAACGGAGAACTGCTACGGGATCTGGAAAGACTGAGGCAATCCCTTGACGAGGTTTCGAACCAAAACAATGTTGAGGACGAACCCGGAGAAAATCTTAAAGCTGCTCTGGAAGAAAAAACTAAAGAGAGCGCGAAGCTTCGAGAAGATTTGCAAAAACAAGAAGATGAAAGACAGGAGTTGACACAAGCTCTTAAACTGGCTAACATGCGCAAAAAGTCTTTGGAAAATGAAGCAAATGAATCGTGGGAAAGAGCTGAAGCTCTCGAAAAATCATTAAAATCCATCAAACAAAAGAATGATTCACTTTCGAAGGACATCTCTGCTTTAAAGAAGGAGAAAGAGGGTCTTAATAACTCTTCAGAAAAACTAGCTCAGGACTATAAGAGGCTGCAGCAAAATCTCGACGCGCTGAAGAAAAAGCTTGAAAACGCTGAGGAGGAAAAAGGCGAAAAGAATGAAAAGGTTGTTACACTCTCGAAAGATGTGAAATTGTTGCAAGAGCAGCTCCTAGAAAAATCACACTCCCTGACCGAGTTAGAGAACAAACTAGAGAATACCATTAAGGAAAATGGAGATCTTCATACCCAGCTTGAAGCCCAGGAGACCAAGCAAGAACAACTCGTGAAAGACTACAAGACGCTTGAGGAAAATCAGGCGAGGGTTCAAACAGAAATGATCGAAGAAAATAAAAATCTCAAAAAGAAGGAAAGTGAGCTAGAAAGTACAGTTAAAGAGCTATGTGATGAAATAAAAAACCTGAAGAGTTCGTTGAAGGACGCTGAAGATAAGCTTGGCACCATCGAGGAGGACATAGATGTGAAGGAAGAAGAAAAAGCCAGTAACTTAAAAGAACAAGTGGAAAAACTGCGAGGCGATAAAGAATCTCTAAAGCGCAAGTTAGAGGAAACAGAAAACGAGAGCAGCACAGCGAGAGAACAACTTAAGGAACTGAAAAACCAAGCCTCGGAATTGCTTTTGTTTATAGACCGATCGGTCGAGAAGAACCCTACGAAAATGTCTCACAAAGCTGCACAAGAGGACACAAGTCACGTTCGTTACGTCTGTGATTACATAGAAGCTATCTTAGAGGAAAAAGCTATTTCAGAAACAAGGCTGAAAGAAGAAATGACAAATTTAGAAAGAGCAGAAAAAACATTACTAGAACTGAGGAATGAGCTGCAAACACTGACAGAGAGACTTGAGAAGGCTGAAGATTCAAATCGTTTAATTGAAGAGGACAACAAACAACTAATACAAGAACGAGCCGAGCTGACGCTTCAGCTCGAAGAAGCACTGGACGGTGATCAAACGGAAGAGCAGTCTTCAAAACCGAAACGTTCTGCCCGGGAGGAGGTACGACTATCGCGCGAAATCAATGACGTTCGGACTCTTATTGACAAGCTAAGTTTGCAAAAAGAAAAACTGGGTGCAGCATTGGCGAATAAAGAGAAGCAAATCGCTGCTGTTACGGCCGAAGCCACTGAAAAGACGAGGATGTTGGAGCACAAGGAAAGAGAAGCTGAGTCGCTGAGCCTCACGAAGGCAGAAGTGGCTGTAGCTTTGGAAATGGCGAAGGATGGCTCAGAGAAACTTCTCGCGGAGCTTGGACGCGAGAGGAGTAGAGTCGAAACTTTACAGCTGGAGTTGGAGAACGAGAAGAAACAGCACTATCACAACCAACAGGAGAAGTCTGATCTGACAGCTTGTGTAAGCCGGTTGGAGGAAGAGAAAAAATCCTTTAAGATTGCTGAAACTAGATGTAGAGATCTCGAGAAACGTTTAAAGAAAGCAGAAGAAGAGAATCTTCAGATTCAAGCACTGAACAACGATCTTACGGCAAATCTGAAATCTCAAAATGCTATATTAGCTTCGGTGAAGAAGGACGCTAAAGATCATGAGTATAAATGGAACAACGAGCTGGCCCAGAAGGACGAGTTACTCCGCTCACTGAATCAGGATATTAAGAAGTCAAATATCTCCTTTTCCGAGATGCTAAGAGTTGTAGACGAGCAGAAAACCAAAATTGCTAACCTTGATAAAGAGTGTAAACAAAATGAGAAGTCACGAAAAGAGGTAGTCGAGGAAAGAAATGTCCTGCAAAAGAAGTTGAAAGAAGAAGCAGATGCTAATGATGCGTTGACCCTTAAGCTACAAGAGATGGAAAGAGCTGTATTTAATCATAGCGAAGAAAACGAAGATCTTCAAAAACAAATCGCAGCTAGTGACATTGAGAAACACCTTTTACAGAGAAAGCTACAGGACGTGGAAGAACAAATGAATAGTAAAGAGAAACGGCTAGCCGATCTAAAAAGAAGCACACAGTCTCTAGTGGATGAGCGAACTCATTCCAAGATAGGGATAGCTGCGCTCCAAAAAGATCTTACCGAGAAGACTTTGTCTCTAGAAAAGGCGCGTAAGGAACTGAGTGATTTAAGAGGGTCAATTGACAAAGGAAAAGGAAAATTTGAGCAAATGAAAGTGGAAAACCTGGAGCTGAAGAGGTCACTAGAAAATGCAGAGAGCAAACTGCGAAGAGCGGAAACAACGTCAGCAAAAACAAAAGAACAAAATGACAAACTGAAAAAGAAGCTCGAAGCTATCGAGGAAGAGATGGCCGCCTTAAATACAGCTTTCGCTGAAGCACAAACAAAGGAAAAAACTCTACTTATCGAAATGAAGACTGAAACAGAACGGATCGAAAATGAGTTGGAAACACTAACAAGTGAATGTGAAACTCTGAGGGGAAAATTGGATGACGCAGCTGATGAGAAGAGCGAGCTTGAACGAGAACTTCAGCTTGAAAGAGATGGTAGGAAGAGGACTGAAGAACAATTGATCACAATTTCAAACGAGCTAGGAACTTTGAAGGTTTCAGTACAAACGGTCGCTCAAGATAACGAGAACCTAAAACTAACCTTGCAGGACCAAGAGAAAGAGCGTACAAGCAAAAAAGACGTTTCTTTAGATGAGATGGACTCAGGAAGTTTCGGAATTGGCGAGGAAGCAATCTCATGTGCCCAGGAAGGCGAACTTTCATCTGCAGCAGAAGTGAATTTTAGTTTGGAGTCCACTCCAAACGATCAAGATACTCTTGAGGATAAACTTGCAAAACAACGCCAGTTAAATGCAGATTTATATGAAGAACTGGACGAACTCAACGATGAAAAAGACGAACTGAACGAAATCATTGAAGAATTGAGGTCGAAAACAAAGAAACTGGAACGAGACATGGATGCTTTGATCGAGGAAAAAGAAACTCTGGAGGATAAACTGGACGAGAATGCCAAACGTTACAAAGAGGAGCTTGGATCTCTGACGGATGGAAATAAGGAGCTGTCCAGAAAGTTAGAGGTCTTACTTAGGGATAAAAATACCCTTCGCGAGGAGATTAAAACAAAGGAACAGAAGAACCGCAAAGCAGTAGAGGATGGGAAAAGGTTGGAAGATTCACTAGAGAAGAGCACTTTAGAAGTGAAACGCCTTACTCTTGAAGTAAACCGCCTCTCCAAAGAGATCGACAAGGAAGTGCCAAAAGGTCTGACAGAGGAGCTCGCTGAAAGCGACGAAAGAATGAAGGAGCTTGAGTACAAACTGGATCAGCTGAGCCTTGAACATCAAGCACTGATGACTGAGTTGGCAGAGAGAAAGAACGAAAATGCAACCTTGCGTGTGGCAGTGGAGGAAGCGACACTCTCCAAAGAAGATTGTGAGAGGAAATTTGGAGATGCAGAAAAAGAACTATATGACGAACTCGATGAAGTACAACAAGAATTGGAAAGCAAGAAGAATACAATTGCATCTCTTGAAGAGCAACTTTCTAAGTTTAAACGATCCGAATCTGAGCGAAAACAAGCCCTTAAAAAGATCTCAGACGAAACATCGGTTAAAGACTTTCAAAAGCAGCTCAGAGAATCCAACGACGAATTAAAAGAAAAGAACAAGATGATTTCAACTTTGAAGGACGAAATTACTGACCTTAAAAGATCCAAACAAAAACTAGAACGAGAACAAAAACAGACGACAGCTGATAAAAAAACGTTAAGCGACCTTCAGAACAAGCTCGAGAAGTTGCAAAAGGAATTACAGGTGAAAAACAAAACGATTACTTCTTTAAACGAAGAAATTGCTGAACTCAAACGATCAAGTCATGAGCAAAAGAAAGAGATGCAAGATAAACTTGAAGAATTGAAAAGAGAGATGGTCGCAAAAGATCAAAAAATTACATCACTTACAGTGAATGCCGATCAAAAGAAAATGAGTCGTGATCAAATTGACAGAAATGAAGAGATAACGCCAGAAAAGATGACGAAAGGCGATGAAATTACTCTCCTCAAACATGAGCTTGCAGAAAAAGAGAGAAAAATTGGTTTGCTAGAGGAAGCGATAGTCGACCACAAACGAACAATTTTTGAACAGGAAAGGGAATTCGACGAGAAGGAAGCGAGTTTGGCGACAGCTCGTGAAGAGTTTTACAAGGGTTTGAGAGAAAGATGCGAAGATGAGGAACGACTTGAAAGCCTGAGACGGGCAAATAATCGACTTCAGGAAGCGCTGAATATTGCCCGGGAGAAGGAGAGTAAACTAAAGAAAGACCTAAAAGAAGCAACAGATCGAGGATTCACGCCGAGTGGGCAAAGAGAGAGAGGCGCTCTTGACAACGAGTTTTTAGAAGTGCGTTATGAAGTTGAGACGTTGCGTAAGCTTTCGTACGATGAGCGCGCGGAGAAAAATTCTCTGAGAAAGACAAGTTTAGAATTAAAAAGATCCCCGAGTGACACGAAAGACAAAGACGGCAAAGACTGGGACAAAGTCAAGGAACTGAGGAGAGAAAAAGACTGTCTGTTCACAGAAAACCAAACATTGAAGAAAACAGTGAGAGACCTGACTGTGGAGCTTGAAATAATAAGGAAAGAGATGGTATTTAAAGAGATTGGAAATTCGAAACAACAGAAGAATGAGTTATCGTTCTCCAAAGAAGCTATCGAAAGAAAAAATAAGGCGATTGAAACCGAACTTCATGAAACAAAATACAGTTTGAATGTCTTAGAAAAGCAGCATGGTGATTTAAAAGACAAATTCCGGAAGCTAGAGGAAGATCGTACAAACGTGGATAATGATAGGATAAAACTTGTAGACGACGCACATGCATTTAAAGTAAAGATGGAGAAGAAAAATCAAGATCTTTTGTCCAAGCTTGAAGCTAAAGAACATGAAGCCATATCTCTGCAAGAAAGAGTCGAAGGTCTCAGTGCCCTAGTACGAAAATTCGAAAACGATGTCCGTAGCTTGGAGAAAGACAAAGAAGACCTCGCGTCACAAGTTCGTTTGCTTGAGTATGATAAAGAACGAATCGAGGAGATAAACAAACAGCAAAAGGCTCAGACTGAAAAGCTTCTTCTTGACAGCGGAAGCCAGAAAGATTTAAACAACAAGTTAAGGACCATGTTCTCAGAAAACGACAGACTGGAAGGAATGAATAACAAATTACAAGCGGACTTAAGGGAGCTGTACCGGGAGGTCGATAGGAAAGAGGAAGACCAGAAAAAACTTATTGAGGAACTACACGAAATGGCGCTGAAGGTTAAGCAGCTCGAGAAGGAGAAGCAAAACGAAGCATCTCTCAAAGAGCAACTTGCCGAGCAACTGATGGAGAAAGACAACGCTATGAAGACGAAGACAAAGATCCTGTCTACCCGTTTAGATGGGCTATTGAAAGAAACTGAAAATCTCAAAGATTCTTCGGGAAAAATGGAGCAAATGGCATTTGATTACAGACGATTGGAAGACGAAAACTTGCAGCTTATAGAAGGCGCAGAGAAATTACGTGAAGAGATTGTTGGTCTGCAAAAGGAGAACGATCTTCTACGACGAGCTTGTCAACAGTTGAGAGGAAGAAAGTCCATCACAGAAGATAAAATCGTTCTTGATGGTTCAAATACGGAACTTAGAAGCGACCCATACCCCAGAAAAGGCTCACTGAATAAACCGTCAGTCCATAAATTCCAACCTATCGAGGAAAGAGTTTCTGCAGAGGAAAAAAGTGAGCTGAACGCGATGAGCAGTAGAGACCTTCAAGAGCTTCGTCGAAGATCACATGATCCAGTTCCCAGCGATATAAAAATATCTAAAGGAACGCTAGCACCCATGCCCCCTTGGACAGGAGAGGCAAGGGGCCACCAGTCCCCAAAGGACCGACAAAGGTCAAACAGTACACCAGTGGTGAAACGTTTCCCTTCAGGGGCACCAGAGATACGACGGGAGGCAGCCCCACATCCCAAGGGCCCCTCGCCACCCTCAACGGATTCAAGCCGTAGCTCAGAAGCAGACCGCAGTATTTGCTCCAGGAGCTCATATTGTAGTCCTATCTTGTCCGTGGTGGATATGTGCCCCCTGCACCGGAACCCCTCGATGGAACGTCCTCCGAATCAATGTCCCATTTGTAAGAAAGAGAGAAGACGGCCTGGTGCTGCGCCAAAGGAATTTATGACTTTGGAAAAATACGTATGAAATTACCTTAATGACATATATATAGTTTTAGAGTATATAATATATCTTTAGTTAAGATTTTTTTTTCGTTTTTTAATAACAAACCTCAACTTATTCGTGTGTTCCTAGATTTCCATATTTCCATTTATTCTCTCATCCAATTTTATTTTAATTACAACGAGGATAGTAATATTTCAGCTTAAGTCAGAATACTTCGAGGTCAGCGATTGGTCTCCGAGGATCAAACCAAGGTAGAAGTCTGGGGTTTATTGGTCTTAAAGTAAAACATGAGACGAGGTTGAAAAATTAATGTTAAAGCCGTGAAAATGCTAAGTATTCTCAAAAGTTCACATAATGTTATTGCCTAGTCATAAACCTTCTACTTCGCTGTTTGCTTTTAAAATTTGGTAACGTCACCTGTCAGTTACGTTAGCAGTGAACCCCCTCCTAAGGAAATATCTGGATCCACCATTTACTTAGCATAGAAAACGAGTTATTGTAGTGACTCGATATGCAAACACGTTACTGGCCCACTTCGACGTGAACTGTGATAGCATGACATCTTTCTTCATGCATGATTTTAACCCTTTAAATCCCAAAGTCTGATCGCTAATTCTCTCCTCTGGCTGCTACAAATTTCCTTTTGAATTAGTTACAAGAATTTGGTGCAAGATCAAGGAAACAACATCTACCTGATAAGTTTGAGTATTCTCGATACCTGTTTTGTGGATATATGGATATTATAGGGAGAAGTTACATGTTCATCACTTCTGGAAGTTAAAGTGTTAGGTCATTTTCATTAAGCAAGCTCTAAGGTCCGAAGTTCATTAGATGATACGTGCATCGGTGGAGTTCATTTTTATACTTAACTGTTTCGTTTTTTGCAAGCTCGTTTGAGGTGGCACATTTTAGAAGTATTCATCATTAATGCTATGGTTTTTTTTTTTTTTGGACAAATAATGTTCTTACAAAGAGGGGAATATAAACAAAGTTTTTCAATTGTGTAAACTTAACACACTGTATCACTGGGTGTGTCTGGGTAAAACAAAATTCAAATTTTATCAAAATCTGTACATATATTCTATTATCAAAAATGATAAATTATTTTAACACTTTTATCCACATGGCTTGTTCTTTGTTTTCCATATGTATCTGCTGAAAGTTGTCTCTTTTCCTTTAAAAAACTATCATCGCTGATTAAGGGAATTAGATTCGACAAGATTTACAACCGTATAACGCGATACTCTTGCATACAGTACCTGGATGAAAGAAAGCAGTTGAAACTAATAGATTACCTCTGGGACTTCGGCTATGTTTTAGAACAGCATGGGGTTAAACGGAGATCTTTCCCGTGGTTAAGCGTATCTTTTCCTGATGGCCATACAGTGCATGCAGATATAATAACTGAACACAACTACATCTTAAGGAGACTTTCGATTGCGGAACAAAAACGAAGAAAAACGCCGGCGAACGTCGACTGAGAATATTTTTTCGAATTACTTTTACGCGATGTTCGAATTGCTGCCCTATAAGGAATTCACAAGTTGGTAACGAAAACAGAGGCTTATACTTGAAATAAACTTTTCCACTGGGAGTTAGAAAGCGTAGAAGGAGAAGGGAATTGAATTGGATAAGGTTGCATGTCTTGCATTGTTAAAATGATTCTACTCAAACTGTAGACTACCGTGAGCCTACAATCATGAGGTCATACGCGAGAAGTGACAGAATTGATGGTAGTCAGCAGAAGAGGTCCAAGCAAAAGAACTCCAACATGGACGGCCACCAACCAGGTTGGTGATTATTGAACTAAATCAACATAACGATGTGAACCTTCCTTCGCAATATTGTAATTTTTAGTTGAGTGTCGAAAGTACTCCGGGATTGCATTGGTTTTGCTCTACTACGCTTTGGGATTGGTCCAGAAAACGCGCCCCACTCTCTCGACCAATCAGATACAAAACTAAACCCAATCAAAACTTTGTTACCCGCGTTTTCCCGCGCTTTAGGTGGCTTGCTTGTTTTTTTTTACTTTGAGTTCTCATTGGCTCTTCAGGGCATTTTCCATTCTTCTGATTGGCCGATGTAATTACTTTGGGTTTAATTTTATGACACTCGATCAAAAAGTGGTCCAATGAAATATGAGCAAGATGCAAGTTGAATTCAATCCTATCTTTCTTTAAAAGAAGGCTTTAGCCTTGCGGGTGGATTACAAAAACTTACAAAAAGGACATTTTGATACCTAAAACATCGTTCTTATAGGAATACAGCTTTTTTTACCACATGACTTAGATAAAACTGATATAGTAAAGGAACAAATATTCTTAAAAAAAAAACAGAGAGAAAAACTCCTTTTGGTTCAGGCCTTAGGAGATGTCAGTTTTACTTAAGTGATTAATAGACAATCTCTCGACGCAAACGTCTTGCGATATAAGATCAATTAGACTTCCGTTTCTGTTTAGAACTAAAAATAAATTCCGTGGAATCAAATTGACGTATCCCCTTCGACATATCCCCTGGTCTCAGTTACTTTCTATTTCCTCGTTTTCTCATGTTACATCCCATCTCTATTTTAACCGCGAGGGATGGAAAGGGTGGCGGATAGAGAATTTTATCTGATATCAAAAAGCCTCAGAAGACATCATAAAAACAGACTGAACGGTAAAAACTCTCTGCTCCACTGTATAGGTGATGAGACTTCGAACAATAAACGACAACGAACATTAATAAATGGATAAATCACAAAGAACAAAATAGAGCAATAGACTTATAAATCAGAGATTTCTCATTATTTCTTAGTCCTAGCCTTCAACGAGAGGGGCATTTAACCTGTTGTGGAGAGAGTTTCTGTGATTGTTATTGAAATGCAAACTTCTTATATCAATTATATATCTGTTATCACTGGCTCCTTGACATGATCATCTGGAATAAACCCAGATTTCTTACTATTTGGCGAATAAGCCCAGATATACCCAGGCACAATTTGGTCCTTTAGATTTGCATATACATACTCTCCGGGTCTAACAGGCAAATCGTCAAAAGCCTTCCCTTCAAAATTGTAAAGTACTATTAGACGCGTTCCTTTTAGGGTGTAAGTCTTATCACTGGATGTTGATGAGGTTACATCCGTCTGCCATGATTTGCCTTTCATCCCAGTCGAACTCGAACTTACTGGTGTGACGTCAGAAGAACTGAGGTTCGGTGAGTTGAGCGATGTACCGTTTGGTGAAGATAACCGTTGAACACAGGCTATATGTGGAAATGAAGGAAGGTTTTGAATGAGAGAAATTGTATTTCTGTATGAATATTTTCCAACTCATTTCACTCGTAAATGATAATAAATAATTGCATTTCCTTCATGCCTAAGAGTCCACCAAACTTGAACACGGGTTCGTTGCCTAATTTCCATATATACTTTCTTAATTACTACACACAATCGTCATGAAATCCAAGTCTTTTTTACTACAATGCCAAGGAAGAACGACTGAGTAATCTGAAAGTTTAACTGCATTCATGTCACTGTAATCTCTCTCTCTGTAAATATTCTCTGGGGAATATCCGAAGACGAGATTTCCCTAAATAACTTTAAAAGGATTACTCAGTTCAGGAAAAAGTCCTGAATGAGCAATTTTAACAGTCTCTCTGAGTTAAGATCAATCAATCAATCAATCAGTTAGTCAATTTGTACTCTATTTCATAAAAGTTCCTTGTCACGCAATTTTTCATCTTTCACCATGAATTTTTGAATCACGCATAATATTCAAGTAAACAAAGATTCAGTTCAGCGCAGCTTCTGGCAGTGATGAGCGACAAAAAAACTCAACATGGTTTTGAATTTGCCCACGAATTATATACCCCCCCTGGCCTTTCTCTTGTTGGGGTGATGTTTATGTTTTTTTCTTTTAATTATATTTTGGGAGTTTAGGAAGTGTAATCGATATCAAAGATAATTTTTTTCGTTCACGTCTGCAGCAAATCTGCCTCTCGATCCATCTGCTTTTTATGGTTTAAGCCTATCTTTATTTAAGCCTGCTTTTTATGGTTTAAACCTATCTTACTTCATCCGGCTTACTTTCAATCATGTTTCCTTTTGCCGTTGATAATGATTAAACTTCTTTCGAATTGCTCCAGACGAACTAAATCAATACTTGCAAACTTTGCGGCTTGTAACCCAGATGAACTGCAAACGGTTGAGCGCTCTTTTTCTCTTTTATGGTTTTTTTTTTTTTTTTTTTTTTCATGAAACGTCAGAAGTTCAAGACCAAGAAAGGTTTTTAGTTGCTGAGTAACATGTATGTTACAAAATTTGAAAGGGATTTTTTATCAGCAAAATGTCGCGTCGCTTAAAAGTATTAAAAGGTGAAGGTTATCAAAATAACAACAATCCAGAACAATCCGGGGGATCTTAAACGAGGCGAAGACATCGTGTTAATTGTTAAAAGAGCGATTTTTACTTTATCGGTTAAGAGTCTTCGGAAGGGAACTTAATGGAAAATGTTTATCCTGATAAAAGATCAATTTCCTCTCGTAAGGCAAAGCTACGTGCTGGGCTAAGTAGAGAAAGTTTTCTCGGGTTTCAAATGAGGTTTCGAAATACTGAACAACCTGATAAAAATAGCCCTACATCTAAAAAAAGGTAACTCGTATCAAATACTGCTTTTCACAAACGAAACGGTAACGCCGACGGAATCTCGAACACGCTAAAACATGTCTTAATTATATTGATATTTTGCATCCACGAGTCCTAAGAATCCGAAATTCGACCATTTTAGCTCTTGCCAAAGAGTCTGGCCTGCTAATATGCGTGAGTCTTTCCTCTTTCCTTTGATATAGTTACTGGGATTTTATATTCGCTTTTGCAGTTAACAAAATCTTAATTAATAACATGACCGCTCTGTATTAACTTCCTCTATCATAGGAGAAGTTAAGAACCTTGCCTTCTCTCGGGAAACATTTAGTAAATGTTTTATAAAGTTCTTCACTTTGATACAAGAAAGCTAAGAGCTTCCTCACAACTTTACTACATTGTTTCGTACACTCTTCACCACATGAATACTAAAAAAACACACACAAGATGTTAAGAAGCAAATTGTTTACCTTCGCAGACGTGAGAGACGACAAAAGATCGAGGAACAAAGCCTTCCTCACCATCATCTGTGGAGACCCAAAACCAATCTTCGTCTTGATCGTTTAGCAGCATAACAACCTCACCTCGACAAACGCTTAAGTCATTCTCATAATGCGCAGTATAGTCATATAAAACTGTCAGCTGCGGACCGTAAGCTCTCTTGGGGAAATAAGTCATTGAGTTATTTGGGCTATGACTCGCTCTATTTAGAGGATCGTTGAAAACGACCACCGTAGTTCTTTCGCCGACTCCGTCCTCGCTATCCTCGAAACTATCCTCGTAACCTGAGGTGCTTGACTTCGAGTCGGTGGATACACTTCTCGTCGAGCAGTAAAACAACGGGATAAACCCTTTATTTCCTAACGAGTCAATCGCGTAAACCCAGTCATTCTCTTGGTAGAGTATTTTCACGTGCTGTCCTTTTCGTACTTTAAGTTCCTCTTTATCAACCGGCTCGTAACTTTGCGTTACTTTCACTCGAACGTTGGCAGGTTTACCCAAACTTGCAGCTCGAATTTTCCGTTCAAAAAGCGTTTCATGTCTCACGCCCGATTCGTTGATTCGGACGTTTCGCTTCTCCTGTTTGTGGCTTGGAGTCGAGCCATTTTTTAGAGCAGACTTCGTAACTTCTGAGGTCGTTGTCCCGTTTTGCTGTTGACTTGATGACGGGCGATAGACATCAGGTGGATAAGGCTTCTTGCTCTGTAAAACTAATAAAAAAATTAGGCGATAAAATTTTTGTCGGAGTAAAATGAAACGCTTAATTATGACACAATAACAATGCAATGGGAAAGACAACTTTCAAAGCACGGCGAATTCTAATTATTTTAGTGTGCAAAGAAAAACGACAAGGAAAAGAACGTTCTCCCTTGAAACAAAACTCTTACCTTTCTTTTTCAATGTCAGTTGTGATGGGCAAAAGAAAGCCATCGTGGCGTTTTCGATTCAAACATTATATCGATGTGTTACTGGCGTACATGCCGAAGGCATATTTGAAATCTTGTTTGTTTTTCCGCGAGGAAAGTAAATAATCGATACGACAAAATCTGCATCTCTGCGTCACAAGCTCTCCAGTTTATTAATAGAAAGTGGGAAGCTCAATAACCCTCTGGATTGTTTACATGTCCCACACGTGTGATCAGATCGGCCAATCACAGCTAATCTAGGTTTAATAAAACCGCAGATTCGACACAAAATATTTAAAGAGGAAACAATGGAGATGAAAGATCTTGCAAGTTTGGAGAGACAAGCCGTCTCTACATCAAACTAACTTTTCTGGGATATTAGAAGAAATTTTCATGAGAAGAAATTTTTAAACAATGGATTGTCCGAGATATAACCATAATATAAATAAACTGTGCAATACATAGACATTAACATCCGGTTTAACAAGAGCGGAGAATTGAAGGAATTCAATTTAATAGACAGATCGGAAGTTAATTTTGATTTACCCTTAACAACTGCATTTTAACTTTTGATCGCCTTTTGTGTTATTGTCTTTTCTGTTTCAAGAACAGCTTCCTTTCACGAAATACAACTCTTTGTTTTCACTTTTGTGAATTCATGAGTGTCTGGTTGCTCTTGAAATAACGATCCGTGAGATACGCCAAGAGTTGCTCACGTCCATTGACAGAAATCCTTAGTTCATCTATCGCTACTGAAATACTATTTTTCAATTACGGTTTGTCATCGCTGTTATGTCTAAATTAAAGTTTCCGTAATTGTGCAGTAAACTGCAAGATGATATACTTTCATAACTATCTGTATTTTAAGGTGATATTATTTCGTCAACGGAATATGGCAAACGACAAGATTTAAACCGGCTGTGCAGTCAAATCAAAACAAATACTCAACTTTGATCAAGAATGCAGATTTTGAGGAGCATGAGAAAAGTGAATAAAATGCTAATAACATAAACGCTTTAACCAACACTGTTCTTACGACTGCGCGCGATATGGGGCTACTTTTAATTCAAAGCAAAGCTACAGTCTGGTGTGGGGAGGAAACTGCCGATGAGAGATCATTTCTAGCATACGTTAAAATTCATGCTTACAACTACTCACGCCCTCAGATTGAAAACTAAGTTATTTTCTCTCTGCAAAATGAACGGATCAGATAAACTTGTCTGCATGCAATGAAATGAACCTCAATGTTCCAAGAAAGTATGTCAGAGTACTACTCAACTTTTCCCTTGGAAATTTCAAATCGGTATTCAATGGGGTATATCTTGAACCATAAGTGCAGTCTGACTGTGAGGGAAGAGATAAGGGAGCGTCTTAAACTGCATGAAAAGTGTGAAAAATTAATCATAATAAGAGTACACATTTTGCACCTTTAATCACATGGTTCTTGTCCGGACTCAAGATCTGGCACTTTCGTTGTACGGTGTTTTTGGACATATTACGTAACTGGGAATTAAACAGCAAACTTAAAAGGTATTCTGCAGAACGCACTGTTATGGCAGCTTACAACCAACTTGGGCAAAAAGATACCCTGCTAATTCGTGGATCGTAACGTAGGGTAAAAAACGTGCCGATTTCCACCTCCACGACTCTGACGCCTTCAAAATTCTTTCGTGCACCAAGACTGAACCCAGAAGCGTTTGAAAGTCACCTTAACCGGCTGCTACAGATATAGCTCCGTTTGCAATCCTACCGGCTTGACGCGTACAGTACTGAACTCTGTAACGTGCACATTGTCAGGCGACAGTAAATTGGTTTAAATCTCAAGTACCTTTTAATGCGCTTAATGCATCGTCTCTCGGGTCAAGATTATGAACCCCCCATGTTCTACGATTCTAATAGTTTTTCCCTTTAACAGCATAGTCACGTCTTGCCTAAACGACCTTTGTACGTTACTTAAAATGTTTATGTTAAATTTGGGAATTATCAATTACATAGTCCCTCCTGAAAGGTTTTGATTTTACTTCAGAAAGCAAAATGTTATGGACGTTTTTCAAATTCTTTTTATAACTAAATTTGCTTATACTGATTATGAAATTGCTTAAGCTAGATGAATGTATAATCTGATTCTTTGAGATAAAGACGAAAATTCGTCAAAAATGAAGGCTATTTATCCTTGGTACTTAAACAACATTTTCTTATAAAGCCACAACTTAGGGGCTTTGTCAGGAATATTTGCGGTTTCCCTCTTTACTGTCATAGAATCTGAGCTCACTGACAAGTTAGACCCCTCTCCAAAATGACAATGGAAGCGAATGTTGAATCAGGGTAACTTAAACCCTTTACTCCAAGCAGTGACAATTGATTAGTTTGTCCTTACGCTACTAAGACAATACACTGTCAAGCACAAAGGCAATGAGAACAAAGACAAATATTTACTGGGAGCAAGAGAACACAAGTTCTCATGCTGGGAGATAATGTTTCTAACGTTAAATTCTACGAGATAAAATTATGAGAAACATATAGCTGAAAGCAAGAAGAAATAAGATTAAGTTCTTGAGAGTAAAGGGTTAACTTATGAGAGAAATGACAATCCAAAACAAGTTATTGACAAGACCTTTGTTTTACCACAGTGGAGCAAATAATCCAATTTGTAAAAATGTCACAATGTTCTTTTTCCGAGTTGAAGTCACGACAGGTTTACTCGGCTGACACAGCACCAACCGGGCAAATGAAACTTTTTAAGGCACCCATTGTTAAGGTTACTCAAGTTATTTTTGTGCAGAAATATTTTCTTGTGTAGTTTTGCATTTCAATGTGTTGAGATTCAGCCCCTATTTTGGAAAGGGTTATCAGAGAATACGAGAGGTATCAGAGGTTACAGAGGTATATGCGACGCTTGTGGAAAATACTATTCGATAAACGAGCTCAAGTTTACTATCTTTTCCTAATCTGTTTACGTACATGTCATGGATGAGCAATGAACATTCTAAACTGAATCATATTTCGGACCATTTCAGTTACACATGGAAAAAGCTATGCTAATCGCTGACACATTCTTAAAGTACACAACAAACTAATGCAATCTTCTAGCATCCTCTGGCTAAAGATTTAGCTTTTATTGCGATATTTATTGAGCCACTCTCATCAACAGATGTCAGTACCGAAGCCATTGCATGATATTGCGTGCCGTAATTGCAAGCGTGCAATAGTCCACATGAACTCAGCATTAAGCTCTTAGAATCCTTTTGACTCTGATGCCGCACAATTTTTCCGTGACGGGAATTAGCGTGTTTCATGACGTATGTTACAGACGGATGCCTGCTGATACCAGAATTTCGATTCATCTGCAAGAAATTCGTCTTGGGTTGCGTGGCTTGGCGGGTGCGCTTACCACGTTCCTGGAGCCTGAAGCGACCAGGG